AGTTCCTCGTCTCAATCCCACAAAAAATCCATTCGTCTGCTGAGATCAGTGTTGCCACCTACAGCAGCTATCATATTGATACTGACCCTCGTCATCATCTTCACAAGACCCCGTAAATCAAAAGCAAAATCCACAGATAAAGAAGCCTTTTCAGGTCCAGCAGAATGGAGGAGAATTTCATACCTGGAGCTTCAACAAGCAACAGACAGATTTAGTGAAAGAAACTTACTTGGCACAGGGGGTTTTGGGTCAGTTTACAATGGGATACTACCAGACGGAATGAACATTGCAGTAAAGGTCTTCAATCTGCAAGTAGAGGGTGCATTTGAGAGTTTTGACACAGAATGTGAAGTACTACGCAATATTCGCCACCGGAATCTGATCAAAATCGTGAGTAGCTGCTGTAATGAAGACTTCAGAGCCTTGGTTCTGGAGTTCATGCCAAATGGAACCTTGGAGAAGTGGTTGTATTCTGATGGATGCAGTTTAGACATCCTGCAGAGATTGGATATAATGATAGATGTGGCTTCGGCTCTGGAATATCTCCACCATGGACATCCAGTGCCGGTCGTCCACTGTGATTTGAAGCCTAATAATGTGTTGCTCGATGAAGATATGGTTGCACACGTGGGGGATTTTGGTCTTGCCAAGCTTTTAGGTGCAGGAGAATCTGTGACGGAGACCATGAGGATTGCCACTATTGGCTACATGGCACCAGGTGATGTTTCACACTTTGATTTTTTTTTTTTTTTTCTATTTTGTCTAATTGAAGAAACTTCATGCATGTCTGCATGCAATTGTCCACAAATCTTTGAAGAACACAATGTTATTCATATTGATAATCTAACTATTTGATGCAGAGTATGGATCGTTGGGCATTGTTTCTACGAAGGGTGATGTCTACAGTTACGGAATTCTACTAATGGAAGTCTTCACTGGAAGAAAGCCTACTGATGAACTTTTCTCCGGTGAAATGAGCTTGAAGCAATGGGTGAAAGAGTCATTATCCTGTTCAGTAGTTGACATCGTTGATGCCAATTTGTTGAACGCAGAAGAGAAGCATTCTGTTGCCAAGATAAAATGTGTCACATCTATCATGGAAATGGCTTTGGATTGTTCAGCAGAATCACCTAAAGAAAGGCCACACATGATGGACATTGCAGCTATGCTCAAGAAGATCAAAGGGAACTATCTGAAAGATGTTGGAGGTCGTAGGAATCCATTAAGCAGACCCAAGTAAAACGTATAAAAGATCATCATAATGATGTAGATAATATCCTGCGAATAGTGGAAAATAAAATTCTCCACTGTCTATATTAAGCTGAAACTAAACTCCACTATGTTTTTCCTCATCATTCCGCGAAAACAACTGCATCTCTAGATTTGTGTGATGCCTTTCTCCAATATGTCGTGGAATGTAATTCGAGTGAATATAGAATGCAAAAGTACAAGACCCTTTTGACAACAGCTTAATCTTACAAAATGTTGCGAAAAAGTTCTTTTGTGGATGATTTCAGTTCTTTTGTGGATGATTTCAGTTTCAATTACCTCAGAAATAAAAAATAAAGTTAATGGTAGCTGGCCCTTTAGAAAACTTGCATACATAACGCTTAAAAGATACAGCATCATCGCAATGATTGTAAAATCACTAACATGGATAGAACACAGTTGAGGTTGTGATAATCTTTATAAAAACAATAAAAATTATCGAGAATTGATGAAATGGCTACTCAAACAAAACTTAGGCTCTATGCTCATTCATCCTCCTGGCTACGCAACCTAGCAAGCTTGTTAGTAACAACAATATCCAGCTGGGCAGCTCTCTCCACAATCTCTTTTCTCTTCCTTGTGGACACATCATGAGCAATCTCAGCACAGTATGTCCTATGAAGCAGAAGAAAACAGTGAATACTTGAAATTGATTTGTCAAAATTGAACGAGTAATGAATGTCTGAAAAAAATTTAGGATACCTGTTGTGCATCATGAGAAGCTCAAGCTCCTTGGCATTGTGCACAACAAACTTCTTGAAGCCATTGGGAAGATAGTGACGGGTCTTCTTGTCTGAGCCGTAGCCAATGTTGGGCATCAAAGTACATCCCTTGAATTTTCTTCGAACCCGGGAATCAATACCCTTTGGCCTACGCCAGTTTGGCTGTGAATCACGATTTCAAATAAAAGTAATCAATCTCTGTAGGTAATCAAGCCCAAGACTGTTTTCTCTCAACTTAAGCAAGATGATAAATCAATAGTTCAATAAAAAAGAAAACAAAAAACATTATCATGATACTTGAGGAAAATGAAGTTAACAATGCGTTCAAGGTTAAAAAACATAGTAAGATGTGAACAGTGTTAAAGTAACAGAAAGCCTATGGAAATAAAAGCTAACTGTGTCGCAAGAACTGTTCCAATCCATATCTGCCCTTAAAACGAAATGCCCAGCTACTAAGAAATAAAACTGGACATCAGATACCATGGGCAACAATATTAAGAAGAAGCGTAAAACTACATAGCATACTATATGTTCAGTTAGAATCGGCAATCTCAGTCGAAAGATGGTGATAATTTTAACTCATCAAAGGAAATCAGGTCTGATGATTTTTTTACATCATAGATTGCAAAAGATGGGGAGAACCAAAATCCACTTGAAATCAATATAAATAGCAAAATTTAGAAACAAACTAAAAAATTTAGAAACAAACTAAGAATTTTATAAAGAATGAAACATGCAAAAGAGATCAGATGGTAGTGCATGTTTTTATTCATCATTCAAATACAGAAATGATGGATAGGTTCATCACGCCTCTTTGCACATTTCAACCATCAAACACATTACTTACAAGACAATCTGAAAAAAAAATAATTAATTTGTCAAATATGGGATCAGATAAAAGGTCGAATTATATCCCCATCTTCCACAAAATTGTGAAAGTAAGTCTGGGTGTCAAAAGGGGTCATCATATCCCATGCAATTTAATGACAAAATAAAAAAAAATAAAAATTACATCAAATGCTAGCTAAATGGATCAGATAGTCGATCACTTGATCACCATACTGCAAAGGCAAGTGAGACTGGGTGTCAAGATCTCTATCATCATGTCCTCACTAAACCCAACTCAACAAAATGAAAAACAAACCTAAATAAACCATAAAACTGCCAAAAGCTAAAACTTTACCAACTTTACCAACTTTACACCAAGAACAGATTAAATTAATGGAATCAGATAATGTGTCAATCACCACCTTGCATATCAAATATGCAAGTAAGACTGGGGCGACAAAAATTATCATCACATCCCTAACGAAAAACAGCTAAGAAACAACAGAAGCTCAAGCTAAAGCACCAAAATGACAATCAAAAGTAATACAATAAGCAACGAATACCCCTGAGAGAGCATGTAGCGCGAATAATGAAAAATACAAAATGTTTCTCTACATGGTAAGGAGATCTATACATATATATATATATATATATACCTTGACAGAGATCTTACGGTCGCTCTGGGGTCTCTTGAACTTCTTGACCCTCTTCTTGACGATCTTCTTCGACAACAGTGGAACCGCCATTTCTGCTACTGCACAAACAAATATTTGTACATCATTATCAGCTCCGAATCAAACCAAGATTTCACAATTGCAAATATAAATCTTAGAACTAAAGAATGGAAGAGAGAGACTGACGGTGAATTAGGGTTTTGGGTTCGCCGCCGGGCGTCTGGAAGTGAGGAAGGATGGAGATTATATAGAAGGAGAGTGGGGACTAGGGTTTTTGGTAACTACTCAAAGGTGGATGTGGAAACTTTAGGGCTTAGAATTAGTCCTTGGGCCTTAATTTTTCATTCCTCCTGACCCAGAGTCCCAGGCCTAGGCCCATAGTTCCAGGGAGGAGCCTCCGAGCTTGTCCAAGTGAGAGGCTTTCTTCCTTGCTTTTCGATCCATGTTACTAGGGCCATGGGACTATATTTATTATTATAAAAATATATATCTTTTTAAATGCAGTATATGTATGGTGGATTAAAGCTATGTTTGGTACAGTGGAAAATCATTTTAAACTTCAAAAGTTTTAATTGTACCAAATACTATATTTTGTAAAAAATACTATAATTTCTCACAAATTAATATTTTGTCTATTTCATTACAAATCTCAGAAGTATCGAATTAGTGCTTCTGTAGGAATTTTTTATTTGAATTTTAATGAAATTAATACATTATTTTTATTTTATTATTATTTTTCTTTCTATTTATAAAAACAACACTTTTACAATAATTTCTTTTTAACATAACTTCTATTCAAAGGTCCAACTACATCAAAACGGGCACTAATTCATGAATTGAATCAGATGGGCCCTTCAACTAACCGGTAGAGTTGCACTCCTTAAACGCCCTGAGAAATAGGGGTAAGTCATTGGCAAAAGGGGCTTTTCTATGTCTTAATTTTCATTTTCCTTTCAAGCAGATAATATAAACAGATATGAAAAAAGGTAACCCCTTAGGCATATTTGTTATTTGTAAGTATTTCATTTATTTGGATAAGTATTATATTTAAATTGTAAAAAAAAAATAAGTAATGGATATGAGAATTGTATATTCATAAATATCAAATTAAATGGCAAATACAAGAGTTCACAATTGTTTACTTGATTTGTTTAATTGGCTAGTTTAATTGACATAGTACTTATACTTATATAATTAAAATTTTACAGATACTTATTACATTTAATATTCATATAATAATTTTTAAAAATAAAAATAATAAAATATAAAATATAAAAATAAAAGTTAAGTAAAGCATACAATTCAAACAAATTACATATTCCATAATAATAATTTATATAAATAATAAATTTTAAACTAAACACATAATACACATAACAATAATATCTCACACTAGATATTTTCTTTTTCTAAACTAAGTAGAAAAATTCATACCCACGAGTTATTCAGTACATATTAAGTTAAGAATTAAATATAAGTATTTGTATATTTAAATAAATATCAAATCTAAAAACCTATATTCAAGGACTTTTAAATTTAATAGAAAATCATGGGGGAGAATTTTTTTTTTTTTTTGGGGTAATGAGTCATAGGCTGAGGTTAGTTGGGGAAAATTTTGAAGGGGATTTTACTTTTTCTTTTCTTTTTTTCTATGATTAATATTAAACTTTCCTTTGGAAGTTTTGTGTTATGCTATGTTTTGGGGTAATTTAAGTTGTTTATTGTTTATTATTTAAAAATATATATAATACTTATTAAAATAAATAAAAATAATAAATGTATATTTTTAAATATAAAAATATTATAATTATAATGTTACGTGACATTGTAAATTTATAATACAATGTATCATTATATAATTAATTCTTTTAATTTAAAAATATTTTATCTAAAATATTATATGCATTTACTTATTTAATATCATATTAAACTTATTTAATATCACATTATAATTGTAAATTTATAATTTTACATATCATTGTAACCATATTATTGCTATTTTAAGTAAGGCATTGTGTGAAAAATATATATGTAAAGCATTCTGAATCGAAGCCTAACACTGAGTTGTATTCTCACTTTTTTTTTCACCAATGTTAGGGTATTCTCAAGTATTAATTTTCTTGCATAAATCAAAACTAACTCCTTCTCACAATTGAAGGAAATTTTGTTCAACTCCGACTCCGACTCCAACTCCAACTCCAACATGGACTTTCCTTATTTTGTGTATAAATACATAAGAGAGAGAGATTTTCGATTGGCTTTTTTCAAAATACAGAATAGAGGTTTTCCGACTTTTTTTATTAAAAAAAGAAAAAGAGAGGGTTTTATAGGGTTTGTGATACAAAAAGAACGGGAAGAAAGAGAAGAGGAACCGAGGACATTGGATCTATTTTCTCTGAAGCTGAGCTCTGTCCTTTTTTTTCAGGTAACACTATTTCTTTGTAAAACTGATAATGGAAACTTCTAAATTGTATAATTTATATATCTGAAAGCTGCCAATGTTTTAGAGTTTGAATCTATGCTTGAATACTTCTGCAAATACTACTCTGATTTGTTTCCCATAATGCCCAAGTTTTGAATTTTTTTTTTTTTTTGTCTTCTCCTTTATTTTGTTTATTTGGGTTGCTTTAGAACAAGTGGTTGAATCGGGGATCCTAATCTTACTTTGCTTTGGAAATTTTATGTATGAGTTCATGTTTTGAGAAATTTTGGTATGAGTTCGATTTTGTTTAGGGTTCATTAGGTGCTGTTTTGTTATAGTATTAAATTATTGATGCTGTTTTTGCTTCTTCTTCTTTTATTATTATTTTTTTTTCTAATCCTGAACGCTAGAATAGAAGAATGTAAATTTTTCTTCTTTTATTTTAGTTTTTTTTTTTTTTTTAAATATTTGTAGCCATCAAGTTTACGGATTTTAACTTATGCATGTCTAAATCAAAGCAGACATGAGGAGAGTGAGGAAAAAGAAGAATATTAAAGTGGACAGGATCTCAGAGTTGCCTGAATGCATCGTTCATGATATCTTGTCTTACCTTCCCATCGAAGACGTAGTTCAAACCACGATTTTGTCCAAAAGATGGTACAGCATGAACAAAAATTACCCTGTTTTGTGTTTTGATTTTGACTACTTCATCAAAAATTTAAAAGAAAAATTCGCCGAAGGAGGTTCAGATTTTCGTAAGGCTTTGAAAACTCACAGGAAACATGTTTATAAGTCTCTGCATCGCTTTAGCAGGAAAAAGGTACTTTTGCACGCATTCTGTGTTAGAAATTTTTCAGTTACTTATCCTGAGCTGCATCCTCATCTCGATAGTTGGATAACATTAGGCTTAGAAAACTGTTTGCAAAAGCTGGAGCTTAATCTTCGTTTTTGCTCCCCATCTTTATATACATTGCCCCTACCAGTATTTGCTTCCAAATCATTAACTAGTCTGGAATTAACTTCGTGTTTTTTGGACCAGCCCTTAACTTTATTCAGTTCCCTTATAAATCTGAATTTAAGGTGGTGCCTTTTGAATGGTCCCATAACTTTGAAGGATGCTGACTGTCCATTGCTGGAAAATTTAACGCTCGACAGCTGTGAAGGTTTCAACCGTGTTTACATTCACAATCTTCTACGCCTCCACTCTGTTGATTTTTATGAAACTTGTTATACGCCAGTGGTGAAGGTCAAGATTGGCTCTCAAAGTATTCAAAACGTTAGCATCACAGCTAGTTCATTGGCTAGAGATTGGGTTAAAATCAACATTGATGCCTGTGATCACTTGAAATTCTTGCTCTTGCGATGTGAAGGACTTGAACAGAAAAAGTTTCACTCTCTTATTGCGAAACTTCCACTTCTTGAGGAGCTATATATTTTTAATTGTCAACAACTCCGAGCAATAAAGATTTCTAGTCCACGAATCAAGACTCTGGTGGTTTGGCCTGATTCCAATGATACCTGCCTCAATACCATAGAAATTGCAGCACCTAGACTGGAAAACTTCATCTTTATATCTGAAAGAGAAAGGGAAAATCCTTGTGTGATCAAGGTTGCTGATTGTTGTGTTGGTTTGAAAACTTTGATGTTGCGCTGCGAAGTTATCACAGATAAAATGTTCCATAAACTAATCTCCAAATGGCACCTGCTCGAGAGTCTCTGGATCTTTGGATGCAATAAGTTGCGAAGGATAAAGATTTTGAGTCCTCAACTGAAGAGACTGCATATTGTTAGATGTCCTAAACTGCAAGCTGTGGAGGTTGGTAGTCGGAATTTATTGAAGTTATTTTGTGGGGGACCCAAGGAACCGGAATTTTCAGTGGCTGATCATTTGTACAAAACCGGTGGTTTAAGGTTCGTGCATGAAGTCGATTTGGACTTCGACTTTTTGAGTTATGGGTTGGCAAAAATGTTGAGATATTTTATAAGAGATGAAGATCTTGTCGAAATAATTACTACTGCCTGTTCTAGAATTTTTTAGGGAAAAAAATATTGTACTCTTTTTTCTTCCTTTTTTATCTTGGGCAAAATATTTTTGATTCCTAAAGATATTTTAAATGATTAAGAGTTACTTTAAATACTTCAAACCCTGAGAGGGATAAAGTACTCTCTTTATCTGTTTTTGGTGCTGCATATCTGTAGCAAGAGCATCAAAACCTTCACTCGTACTATGATTGAAAACGGCGTTTAATCAATCAGGAATTGAAGCCATCTGGAAATCAAAAGAAAAAAGAAAAAGAAAAAGAAATTATCAAGTAATTCCATGAAAATTACATCGACTCTTTGGTGGGCAAAGCCAAAATAATCATTACTCAAAAGTAGCCTTTCAACATCTTGGAGTTCATCCAAAACCAAAACCAATGGCAAAGATTCACAACATTCAACCAGGAAGCAAAATTCAAAACACTATGTTTCATTCCAACAAGATCTTAAGTATAAAATTCATCTTCTTTCATCCGTGTTCTATCTTCTTACTCCATAAGTAAAGTCAAACCAAGAAGTTGCCTAGTCTGAAATCAAATGTAAATCAAAAGTAATTGGTAAACTGTTCATATAATCATATTTGAAGCGTAGCTGAAATTGTTAAAGTTGAGTATAAAGCAAAAAGAAAGGGAGGAAATTGAAAGTACATTTCTTTCCTGAGTTGTATTGATTCAAGTGTCCTAAAAGAGAAGGCTAGGTACATATAGTCCTGTGACAAAAGTTACCTATAATGTAAAACAAGTTAACCTAAACTGAAAAATTGTCTCACCAACCTAACTATAAGTAGATGTTTTCCTTGTGAAAATAGTCCTGAAAGCTTGATTCGTGGAACATGCATGCAGAACCCTTCAAAATTCATTACAAGGTGAATCTTACTAAATTTTGAAAGCTTAAAAGGAATGTTCAAGTTAGGAAGCCAACTAACAATACCACATTTTAGTTTAAATTTTCAAAAGCATAATGGTAACCTTTACCATGTGATTTTGAAGAGATTGTGAAGATGCACGTAAAAGGCAAAAAGTGAAGAAAGATGTAGAGAAGTAACATTCAAAACACAAGAAAAGAAAGTCTCCAAGGTCACTAATAATATAAGCAGGAATATTAACTAATATATCCAGTACCTCACAAGCTGGCACCTCATATATCAGAGCAGAAGTTTAACTCAGGTAGTACCTTTGGAGAAGTGATCTCCATTTCTCTTCTAATCAAGTCAATCTTAGGAACAATTGCCTCAATGAAAGGCATCCAAACAAGGAAACCAGACGATCCACGCACATGTAAGAAGACCACAAGCTTCAGGGTTGAAAACATTAGCAACAGTTCCTACAACAAGTTCACCAGTTTCCTAAAAAAAGGAAGCACAAAAATGTCTTAAAAAGCCAATCTTCACCAATCATGATATAAAATTAATAATAGTTTAAGGAAAAAGATAAAAAGGCCACACTCATTCCAATAGAGACAAGACAACAGTGAGAATCCAAGCATCAGTTCTACCACTGAAGTATAATGTGGTCTGACCTTAATCTGTAAATAAATAAATAAATAAAATCTTTTAAGAGTGCATATCCTGTAGTACCAACCTCTCTGCTTACAAATAAACAACAAACATATAGCAGCCTCAATTCCACAGACGTAGAAAATACGGTAGATGATAGATCAACAGAGGAAAACATGACAATTTGCATGATCAGAATACTGCTTGCACATGATCACAGCACTAACAAAGAAGGGACAAGGAGTTGAAGAAACTCAGTTGAATTCTGCAGCTTTAGAAAATATAAATCATACCTTATCAGCATTGAACCTCAACTAGTATCTAGATAGGATCATTGGAGCCAAACCTTGAATTGCCAATTCAGATACAAGTTTGTTCAACTGACTTCTCAGACCTCTCAAGAATTCCATGACAGCATTGCTGTAAACATATTGTATTTTCTGCAGGAAAATAAACTCTCTAGAGTCAATAAGATGCATTTACATGCCAACACAAACTAATGGCACTAGAGCATTATTATGGTAAAGAGCAGGAACATGCGAAAATTGCATTTCCAAGCTTTGAATCAGCAACTCCCAATGATTCAACTCCACAATCTGGGTGCCTTCAATTAGGTTGCTTGCAGCTACCAAAAGCTTGTGTGTTTTCAAACTTGCAAAAGGGTTTCATTGGTTACATTATCTGGATGTCACTTCAATTGCTTTGGTTGCAGCTTCCCTAACTTCTTTTGTGTTTTCAAACTTGCAAAAGGCTTTCACTTTATTACTTGACGTTTGCACTAAATGCCAATCAGATTTTTAAAGAAACTAAGATATTAACAAAAACCATAACATAAACAACACATCATAAAAGAGAACAAATAACATATGACAGGTGCATAAAGCAAGCATCCCAACATCCAGGAACCATTGTAACACATGACAATAATAATTTTATAAAAGATTAAAACAGAATAATTTACTGATCCACTAAAACTGCTGGTGGATTACAAAATCAGCCTGCCTTTGACATGATCGAAGTGATTTTATCTACCCATAAAAGGAACCATAAGGCAGAAATAAAATTTCACTTGCTTAATATTTTCCATCATCCTCCAATAGAAAAGCACAAGACTGTGAAGATACTTACCTCAACTTCAGCTTCCCATCCCCTCAACTTCAGCTTCCCTTCGTCCAAATCTTGAACAAAACAGTAGAACAGTTATCTATCAATCTCCCAAAAAGTAAAAAGGGCTGAAACATTATCACCAAACAAACCTTGAACGGTTGAACCAGGTTGCCAACTGCATGGCAAATCCATAACCAAACTTTTCCTTTTTGTTTCAACGTAACATTTATTAAGAACCCATAATCAAATTTCAACCATTGTGGTTACGCCATCATGAACCTAGAATGAAAAAGAGAACTATTTTCAATATTACCAATTCAGCACGCAAGATTACATGTACAAACTAATGCTAAATCACTATCACTGTTATAAAATTTGATTAGGAACAAGAAGTTTGTATTCAATCACTATAAGGACCATA